AGAGAGGGAGGAAGGAGGGAGGGAGAGAAAAGAAAAAGAGAAAGTTCAAGAAACAAAAGACAACTCAGAGGTACTTTCCTGAAATGTTTCTTGTTTCTTTCCCAGGCTAGTATTGACTTTCTGCCAATAATTGAAAGCCAGGGCAATGTAATGGTTTTCCTTGGCACAACAGTCATCTCCACAAGACACTCGCACATGGTCCCTCCTCCACAGAGATAGGCTCCTTTTCCCAGGACACTGAGTCCTCTTCCAGGATCCTGAGTCCTCCTCCTGGAACAGCCCTCTGTGGCCCCTGTCCTCCCCTCTGTCCTCCAGGTTCAGGAGCATGAGGAAGAAACAGGATGTAATCACTGTCATCACCCCGGCCTCCACCAGAAACTTAGCCTCTGTGACACAAGTGAATGGTTCCTAGATCTGTAAATGTCAGAATTCCGAGGCTCACAGAAGGTATCACAGCAGACTCAGAAAGGCCTGAAGTTCTCACTGATGTGTCTTGGCATCTGCCAGAGTAAGCGGCACAGAGCAGACACATAGCAGCAACAACATCATGTTGCTGGAAAGCAAGCAAATAAATGAGTAAAAATTTGAGTAAATGATTTAGATAATTCTTTTTTTTTTTTTTTTGGTTTTTTTAAGACAGGGTTTCTCTGTGTAGCTTTGCTCCTTTTCCTGGAACTCACTCTGTAGCCCAGGCTGGCCTCGAACTCACAGAGATCCGCCTGGCTCTGCCTTCCAAGTGCTGGGATTAAAGGCGTGTGCCACACCGCCCAGCTAGATAATTCTTAATCCAAATGCTGACTCTAAGGGCATTAAATGCTACATATGGCATTAACAAATAACATTTAATAACTATTCTGGTCTTTCTGTAATAAGCAATACAAAACTTATTTTTAAACTTTTTAATTGACAATCTTAGATACTGATGGGATGAAATGTGACACCTCAATGTATCCCACAGTATATTATGTTTAGAAAAAGGTAACCAGTGTGTCCATCCCATCAAACATTTATCATTTCTTTGTGTGGGAAATATCCAAAGCCTTCTCCATTATCTATGTTGAAATACTCAGTCATTGACAACAACTGTTTTCTGCTGAGCTAGAACATCAGCAATCATTCCTGGCTGCACTTGTGCACCCAATAACCACTCCTCTCTGTCTCTTCTCTATCCCATCTCTGCCTCCTCTCTATCCCCTCTTGCCTTTTCTCTATCCCCTCTGTCTCCTCTCTATCCCCTCTTGTCTCCTCTCTATCCCCTCTGTCTCTTCTCTATCCCCTCTTGTCTTCTCTCTATCCC